TCATTTTTTTGAGTACTCAAAATATACAAAAAAGCAAACTGATTATAATCTAATGCTAATTATTTTTTGTATTTCGCGGGTAGATCTCTTCTTGCAGGCTCAAGATCTTAAATAAGTTGAAATAAATATAAATATTGAGTTTGGGAAATGATTATAAATAATTTTAACATAACAATTACACTTACCAAAATAGCTTCGTCTTGAATTTTTAATCTTTGGAGATTGTGAACCTGACTTTGTAGATTTAGAATATTTCTTATTATATATAGCACATTTTTTTGATACTCTAAGTTTTTTGCTACTATTATTTATACCAATATCAATATCACAATCAGAATTATCTGGATCTGTATTATGAAATAAAGTTCTGAATTTTCTATTTTTCTTGATTGATGTTGCATGTATAAAAAAAATGACACTGTAACAAACACCAGAAATAACAGGAAAATTGCTATGGACCAAAATATTTGATCTAAAAGCAATGGCCTGGCCTTGTTTTGCATAAATACTTAACTTTAACTCTGGAAATACCAACTGCCTGCCTTCAAATGATCCAAGTAGACACACCACACAAAGTGTATTTCAGTGGTCTTTTAAATCATGATGAAATTGACTAATAACATTGAAGTTGATCGTGATTGTTGGGAAAGCACTGAAAGACTTAGGAACATTTGGCCCAAGATTGAGCTTTGCTATTTTTGTATATAGAGCCGGATAAGTTTCCTGGAAATAACTATTAACCTCATTAGATAGTGGTTGAAGTCCACTAATCAACTCCCGAACACATTTCTGATGTTCTGAGCAATGGTTCGATGCTGTGTTTGCAGTTGTATAGGGCTCATTGTTATTACCTGTGAAGGCTCCAAAATGCTCCACTAATTCTTTCTTAAATTCCTTTGATTGATGTTTTTTATTATTGATATTGTGATTATAATATTGATTTACTACCATCCTTGTATCTTCAATGAGCATTGTATTGGGTAGGTCAAAAAAATCTACTATGGTTTCACCGAAAGAATTCTTGAAGCATTGTGAATTGAAGACATGGTAGTAGCCTTCAAATTTATTACCGATAGCTATATCCTTTATGGCCTCTTTAGCTACACCTAATTTATTTATTGATGATCGGCTTAACGTCTCTGAGATCTTATATTCTTATATTTTATTCAGGGCTTCACAATAAGCATGTTTCACATTAGACCAGAGATGACGACAATGATGACGAAATCGTTGATTAAAATTGGAGACTTTTGAAAAATTTGCCCACAACCCAAACTCTTTCCACTGTTCTGGCGTTGAATTCGAAGAGCCTTTATTAAAGGTTTTAGACTTTAGCAGAACCATATATTGTATTGGTATTTCTGAGTTATCGATGGGCATCAGTTGGATTGTTTGAGGTGGTAAAGATTTTGCGATATAGGTATTTGGGTTTACACTATTACCTAATAATGAATCTGTTTGTAATAACCTAAGGATAATTAGTCTTTGTTGCCTTCTTTCTAAAAACTTTTTAATAAAAGTAAATTTTGGATCTATCAAAGTATAAGGTCGTGAAATTTTAGCCGATTTAAGATCGCTAGAAAGGAAATCTTCTGATATCCATTGGGTACAGATATATTCTCGAGCCTCATTTTTGATCGATTGGCGGGTTTCCGGTTGGGTTTTATGCTAAAGAATATATATTCAAAAATTAATAAATGGTATACTATATAACCTATAATGTTCTGAAGTTGGATAATAATAAAGTGAGATGGATACATTTGAATCATTTTCGTCTCATAGCTCAGCGTTAAACGGGAAGCTCGTTCGGTCTTCCTCTCCTCGCTAATAAGACAATTGTAATTCAATGATCGCACCCTCAATAATAATAGGGAGGGAATAGTCGGATCCTAGGCCTGCCTCAAAAGGCAACAACTACCCCTAAAGAAGACTATACTATAAAACTAAAAGTGATAAAAGACGGTTACATACCTTTAGAGGATTATAAAATATGTTTGTTCTTTCTTCGATCTGGTTAGCATTAGTACCGGGTGTAGGCTCGAAGAGCCATTGCTCAGCAATAGAATCACTCTCTCCAACGATTGAACTATCGGACTTCCCAATTTTTGCTTTTTTTGTAGCACGCATATCCTTTTTACGAAGATTTCTCTTAGAGGCCTTTGATAAGAGAACGAGTGTATTTTGCGATGACATAGTAACAATAGAAGTAAGCAATTTATAAAAATTTTTTAAATGCTTTCGAGAAAAAACAAGCAAATTCAGAACAGAACTTTGTAGATAACCCTTTTATTATAAATTTCAGTACATAACAATTTGACGTGAAGCAGTATATACAATACAAATGACTCGGCATTATCATAATTCAACACGAGTTAACTAACAATTTTTTTTTTATTTGACACCACAATGTTTTAACACGATAATTACTACGTAACAATTGCATGGTTACTAAATTCGGCACCACAATTATAGAACACGATAAATCAACCAACAATCACACGGTTTCTATATTGTTAATAACCTGTTGAGAGAGAATTTGGCTATACGGGGTACACTTGACCGGTAATAATTTTACATGCATTATGTTGATCAAACATCTATCACGATTTTTTTACCGACACATGATTTATTTGAATAGTACTTCAACAGTGGCTTAGCGATTTTACATAAATTTATTATGAAAAAGCCAACAGTACTTCAACAGTGGCTTAACAATAGATCGGTATATCGTAAGATAAAATTTCGCGATTTTAAAATGAAAACTAAGTATACGGTTTGTGTCACTCTCCTGCAGAATCATTTCTCACAGTCGATTTTTTATTAATAACGAATAATTACAAATTTATATCTAGACCATTTTCTTATTATACAACATACGATCCCGCGATAAGAAAAAGCGCAAATGGGACTTAAAAGGGCTATAAGAGGAATATGTATAACATTCTTAATCAGTAGTTTTATCGAAATTTATATGTTACTAGGACTTGGAATCTCCGCCATTCCCAGATCGTCAACTTTTTTCACTTCGTAGTAGCGATCGTCAAATCTAAGGGGGTTTAATTTCACCTAAAAAACGACGAAATGGATTCAGTATTTGGAACTTATAGCCGAACGGGGTTGCTTTACGTGGCTGGATCTGGTATTGTGTTAGGGTAACGCAATTACTAATCATGTAACTTTTTTTAGCAGGTTTTTTAGATCTAGCGAATGAATGGTATAAAATAAGTGTTTTTTTTGTTTCTTGTTGGGTGGGTTATAATATTTTTTTACTCGTATATATTTTTATCTGACCATAATTATTTTTTAAAGTAGTGTATATTTTATCTAATGGAGATTATGAAACCGAATTTTTACTTATTATATTTTTTTTATTTAGGAACGAAAAATGAGCAGTAATAAAAAAACCACCACCCCCAAGACCAACGATAGTAGCACCCCCAAGACCAACGATACTACCACCCCCAAGACTAATTGTATTTATATATGTGAAAGGTGGATAAAAGGATCAGAAAGGGAAATCGCAGATTGGCACAAAAAAACAAAAATCGGTAGAACTTTTGTCCAATTTGACACAGAGCTGGTTTGGAGTGGATAGGAACCCAGTAACGGGCTTAAAGCCTAGGCAGACCTGGCCATATGAAGCTAGGTAAAGGTGATAACCAAGGTGATGATGGAGGTTATAGTGATATGGAAAAAAATAATATATTGTTTTTATTTGTATATTGCCAGTTCGGCAAAAAAATATTAAATAAAGAAGGGAGGGAGGTCCTATGCCCTCACCAAATTTTATTTTTATACGATTTTTACAATATAATTTGCGATTATTAAATAGTGGAGACTATTAATCTATGCTATTACGGTTGCTATTGGGATTTCAGTATAGGCCTTCCAACATTTACACAATCGCGTACTAAAAGTTCTCTTACAACAATAGAGACGGTAAGTTTCTTCACCGTAATAATCACCATCATCCCACCAACCTTTTACATCATCTCCTCATTACATACTGGATATGTTTCTGAATAATCGAAATAATCGGCATATTCATTGCTCCACTTAAAAGATAAATTAGTGAATCGGTCTAATATCATTTTAATAACATCGTCGAGTAATACAGAAATTGGAAGACGGTCTGGATTTGTATTGTATACTAAATTCCACGATTTTAATTATATAGGCCGGCTTTTACATTGTAATTTGTAAAAAAAATGATTACAGATATTAATAAAGTCATGATTTAAATTACTTCTTTAATTATATCAGTTTTCACTATAGTGGTTCTTACGACACATGGTGAATCGGATTGCTCTGATGAATTATCTTTACCTATCATATGATAAAGGATCTTGGTTATGAGACGTTCTTTCCGTAACTAAGAAAAAAAGCGAATGAAGGATAAAAATAAAGGTAAATTTTTGTATTTTACAAAAGAAAAAAAAATATAGCAAAAAGTTAAACCGTTTCTGGCCAGGTTAGACAATATTAACCATCACCAGTATCCACCAACTCGTCGTCTGATGACCGCACGAAATTTGGTGGCCCACCTTTACAAGTAGAAAGTTCACCGCCTGATGGCAAAGTGAGATCTTCCTGCTTGCACTTCTGTTTGCTGATCACCTGATGGTTAAACCAGCAGACAGGGTTGCGTTGTGGGAGTCACCGTCTGATGACAGGATGATAGTTCCCCCTTCGCACTTCCAGCATCGTCCACCGTCTGATGACCGGCATGGACGCGTGGGTGGCAATTTTAAAATGAGTATGGAAATTGGATCAGAAACATATTTTATTAAGTGGCTTAGAAATGAGTAGGGTATATAAACTGACCACATGATCAACACGTCGCGATTTTTGTTATTTTATTTTCGTCAGAGTAAATTGACTCGCTATGTCTAAAGTGAATTATAAGGTCCACGAAAAAAACTGCATTACAGAACATGAACCTCGTCTTCTTTCAACCCCGTATTTCAAATTTCTGGCCAGTCCGGATACACGAGGAGTTCACGTTTATTTCACGACCGAGGAAGCATCTTCATGGTGCCTTCAAAATTTCATTAAGTATGCTGTTGATTCCGAGATTAACTTCGAACAGGCGGTCATAATATTTAGAGAGAGCTTAGATCAATTAAATCAGTTCGCATCCACGCCTAATCCGATAAAAGCATTCTGCCATAATTACTTAGAGTGGTTAAAGGTAGGCAGTATTTTTTGTTTAATAATAATATATTATAGAAATAAAACTCAATCATCACAGTCCCGTGCAGGAATTACGATTATCCAAGAATGCCGAAAATATTTCGAAGCTACCAAATATCAAAGACAATCAGCCGTTCTCAACGACACAGTCGAGGTTGGCTGATACTTGATTTGCAGTTATGTGCACATGTCGAATGGATGTTTACGTTTCATTATCACCTTTCAGAATACACTATTACTTAACTCGAAAACAGAAATCATTCAAGCACAATTACAACCCTCGGATGCTTTGCTATCTCCAGACCCTTTATCACCTTCAATTACTATACAACTTTCAGACGCTACAGATACTTTACCACCTAAAACCCCGCCACAAACACCTCGAGAATTAACATATTTATTAAATACACCAAACAAGCGTCCAATAGAGAAGGAAGAACTTTGGGAGTAAGTTTCTGCTAGTTGTGTTGCTTAGAAAACAGAAGTTATTCTAACAGTAGTTTGCTCTTCTATGTAACAGTTACACTCAAAACAATTCCGTTATATGTGCATTTGCGTTAACAGCCAAAGAATTGGAAACAGAAATTGGCACAGAACTCACCAAAGAATTGTTCTCTATGCGTGATAGAAATCCCGTTGTGTGGAATTCTAATTTAGAAGAATATATAAATGACGTTCTCAAGGAATCTGGTGAAAACTTCAAGAATGCAGTTATAAATAAGAATTATAAAGATATAGATAAAGGTTTCCGCCTATATTGTGAGAAAGTTCTCACCGACTTGTAGGTAGACATTAATATCTATTTGCCCATCAAAGTAACTGTTAACAATTGCTTTTCCTTTAGCTACAATCTTGTAGATGTTGGTCCCACTATTGATAGAAAAATAGGCGAGCGAAAGCATATAGTTTATCAAGTATCAGCACTATTCAAATTTTATGAGAGAACGTTTCTAACCTTGGATATTGATTGGATTGAATCTCACTCCCGCCCGGCAAAACTGATGAAGTCAGAATCAAATTCTGGCATTGTTCTAGTGGACGCAAAGGCGACAAGGTTTTCCGATGGGCTTGATGTTTGGCATTTAGAAGTCGCAGGTCCTCCCTATAATGCATCCAATAAACACATTCTAGGTGATTCAAAGAAAACAATTCGAACAGATATCCTAAATCTAATTACAATCTTGCGGGAACATCTTGATTGTGATATCAACCTTGCCACGAGGATAAAAGTGTTCAGTATGCTATCAATTAGTAAGTGGATCTATGTTTTGTTAGTTTTGTTAGTCACTGCAATGTATGATAACCTGTTCCTATTTTCAGATTCCCGATTAACGCTATATTCATTAAATATCCTTCGTGATGGACGCTTTCTGTCGTGTGAACTTGCCACCGCCGTCATGCCCTTCAGTTTTAGCGGACGGCATCAATATAAATCAGTTCTCAGAATGATGTCTATATTCCATGTAAGTTTTGTCTACTTTCTTTATAAATAAATATAATTACTTTAACAAAATCATCATATGATGGTATATTTCCATAGGATGAATTAATTAAGCAGGACGAATTATTAGAAAAAATCAACGGGTCAATACTTCGTTCTAAAAATGTTACAGTACGTCAAGTGTTAAAGATACCTGAATTAGCGTGAAAAGAGTCTTTTTAAACTAGTTATTTTGTTATGATTTGATACTATAGATAATTATGTAACGTAGAAAATGAATAATAAAATAAAAAAGTGCAACACGTTCGTTTTTTGAAATAAACTATAACATTTCGATAATATTCTTGTAACAAAAAAGAAAAAGATTTCCACCAATCAAAATTCTGAAGTCTCATAAAAGTGAGAGTGCTTCTACATCTATGCTAAAATTTTTACAGCTCAACGATAATATTACTCATATAGAATTAGAAAATGAGGGAAACTCAGTGTTATCACTCCTTTGGGGATGCTTTATCAAAACGTGAAATTATTATAGAAAATCTTACTATTGTTATGTTTTATTTAGTCATTGGACAACCAGCATTGGTGTATCAATAAAAATAAATAAATATTACACATTTTACACATTATATTTACCTAGTGAATATAAATTAGTAGTCAAAATAGATAACAAAAAAAACACCACCTGTATGATTGATATAAGTTTATCAGAAGCATAGCAAAAACTCTGAAAACTATAGAAAAAGACTAGAGTTTAAAAAAATACACCTGTCTATCACTGAAAATAGTGCCTGCGGTTGATCATAATAATCTTCTCTACCTACTTCCAATTCACAGAAATGCATATTTTTATTTAACGTTAATTATTTGAGAATTATCACATTCACATCGCTTATATATTCCCTCTGCTACTTTTTTGCATGTTTTGCAATATAGGTGTGAATGATGATCGCATTCGTCACAAACCTTACACCCATGCTTCCAACCTCTAAAGATATGCCACTTTTCAAAGTAATTTTTATTTATATACATATTATTCAGATTTTTCATTATTATTATATGTATATTAACAGAAAAAATATAATGTGGCTAAAAATTTTTATTATACAATCCTGTAATGTTTATACCCCGCCTCACATGTATAAACCTTAGGTCAAGATCCGTACATGTTGATTGAATGCCTATTGCTATATTTAACAATATTGCAGTGGTATGTATAAACTTTATTATGAATTAAATTATATACTGTAATTATATATATATATGATTTACTAATAAAAAAATATTTATATCACGTTGGCGTTAACTTGGGGGACACGATCTGCACTAATTAAAATGCTTTATAATATTATAAATTTGTGTAGAAAAGCTCTGATCCGAGGACTTTCTTATCTATAAAATCAATTAAGATATTTTTTCCACAACCTGGTAAGGAACGCAATACTTGAATTGTTCCAGGTTTTTTAGATGGTTGTTGTACTAGATATGCACACCAGTACCAGAAATATTTACTAAGCTCTTCATTCCTATCAGAAATTATATTTTTTGCATGCCATAGAATTGGATCAATAATAGCTGGATTAATCTCAATCGTTGGTTGGGCTTTGAATCCTAGAAAAAGGTTAAAGAAC